ATTACCAGTTTTCATTCTAATCCACTGGGGAACAGGATGGTTTTGCTTCTGTTTTTTGTCCAGAAACCACTTGATTCTGAAAGTCTTGTGAGAAGACATGGTGAAGAGCCAAGTAGACCACATACACAAGGATGGAAGAGAAAGGAAGAGTTCTAACAATTCTCTATACTAAGCATTCCCTGTTCAAATTGCTGTGTTATTTTCTGTCTCCTAGCCAGATTTGAGGTTACTATGTTGCAATTGACATAGTTGATATGTCAGAGAAGCATCCTGTTAAGAGAAGGATGTCTCTGGAGGCAAATATCTGGGTGGGCCACTGATTCGATATGATTTGAAGTTGTCATCTTGTTAGTTAGCTGGGGGCCACCACGTCAGGATGAGAATGCCCTGAAAATGCCAGCCAGACTGCTAGAATTACTGACAGCAGTCAATGAGGAAGGACACTTTCAGAAGAAAAAGAAAGTCATGTAGTTGCAGCAGCTGTAGGTTGGTCCTGTTTTGCAATACCTCTGAGTGGCCATAGAGTAGGAGATAGCCACTAAAAAACCTAAAAACCAAGTATAGAAATCGAAGAAGTTGAGACCAGAAAGATACATTCAGTTACTCAGGCCAAAAGCAAGGACAGGCTGAATCACTGGCTGAAGCAAACTAGGGATGAGCCGCATAACTTAGCATGCCACTTGGCAAAAGTGAAAGAGAAACAGCTGTTGATGGTGTGTATCTGCACTATGATAGCCCAATCTGATTGGGATCCACAAAAGTGAGATCCCACCAAGGAATCCTACTCCTTGGAAGAAGAAGTAGAGGTGATAGAGGAAGTAAAAGCCCCCCAAAGATGAGGGCTTTCCCAGTAATAATTCAGAATATAAAGATACAAAAGGAATAGCCAGTCACAGACCCAGAGTGAGACAGGAGCAGGATGGGAGCACTCACATCTGCCCACAGTGCTACCCGCCATTCACCCCAATGCCCCGTGCTGTGCTCAGGCTCCTCCTGCTCCTCCTACTGCTGCTCCTGTTGTTGTTGCCACTGCTGCCATGCCAGAGGCCACCAGGAAGCCAACACCTTGCAGTCAGTGTTGAGGTTTGGTAAATGCTGGAATTGAATGCACCCTAATAGATGGTAACCCAAGTAAATGTAAAGGGCCTGTAACTGCCACAAATGGGATGCTGATAAATCAATCAAGGTTCATACGATGATACTAACCTTGTGCATCAGTCTCCTGCCTCCTAGAACCTATTCTGTACCCATATCTTCTATCAAAGAGTACATACTAGGAATTAATATGTTGCAAAGGTTATGGTTAAAAATTCGAGTTAGCAAATTTTGCCCAAGTGAGGGTAATTAAAGCAATGATAAGAGGGCACTATCCATGGTCCTGCCAGCACTATGGTGGGTAGAGGCTACCAAACAATACCACTCACCTGGTGGGAAAGTTATACCCCCACTTCATGCTGCGTACCCAATACTACTAATAACTTGGACCAATTAGGGACACAAATGGGCACATACCATCTTGTAGTAGATTTGACTAATGTATTCTTTGCTATTGATATTCATGCAGATTGTCAAGACCAGCTCACATCACCTGAGGAGGAAGACAAGAGACATTCACAGTGCTACCTATGGGATATTTACATAGACCTGTGTTGGGTCATGATATGGTCACTCGAGATCTGGAAAGCTGAAAGCAACCTGCATAGGTGTCTCTATTTCATTCTACAGATGACATAAATTATATATAGATGATAACCTGATTCTCTTACAGACTTAGAACAAGCAACCCCCTGCTGACTGAACATTTTACAGGGAAAGTATAGGTGGTAAATCAAAACAAACTGCAAGGAACTGGCTTATCTGTCAAATTCTTGGGAGTTATCTGGTCTGGTAAGATGAAGTAATGCTTTGGCTATTATTGTTAAGATCCAGGCTTTTCCCAGCCCAACACTGAACAAATGCAAAACTTTTGGGGCTTGTTGGAATATTGGAGGACATTTATTCCACATCTAGTACAGAAAGTATGGCCCCTACATAGAGTAATTAAATTTTAAAAATCCCAATGAGACTAGACAGAGGAGTGCAAACAGGCATTCAATGCCACCAAAAGTGCTGTGGGAGCCACCTAGGCATTGGGTATTCTAAATCAATCCATCTCATGCCAGATGGATGTAAATATTACCCAGGAGGGATGTGCTTTGGTGCTTTAGAACTGAACGCAGAAAGTTTGACTTCCTATTAGCTTTTGGTCTCAGATCTGGAAAAGTACTAAAGTCCACTATAGCCCCATTAAGCATCAGGCCTTCCCTAGCAAATGAGCTATACAATGTTCAACCAAAGAGGACTGTCACAGCTTCTTGCAGCATATAGCATCACTGAAGTTACTAAAAGCAACACACTTTACTGGACATCAGGTACAACAATGAGCTGAATTAATGCATAACCATCAATTTCACCTACACTACAACCCAATGGGTGCCAATCTAATAGAAAAATACAGCAGCATGGTAAAGGATGCTTTAAAGACAAATCAGAATTCATAGCAGGGGTGGATGACCTGATTGCATGAAGCAATCTGCACCCTCAGTGAGACCCCAAGTAGGCCATCCAACACTCCTAGACATGCTGACACCACCATGGGCAATGGCCTTGAGAATGCAAATCTGAATGGTAGAATCACCACTGCAACTAAGATGCATAAGTGAGAATAACCTGTTGCTGCCCACCCCACAAGACATAGTATTCAGAGAGAATACTCTCCATTGGCCCTGGGAAGTTCAGTTTGAACTCTGGTGCTCTCTCTGCTTGATTTATGGGGATAAATCTTAATTTAGACATTCATCCTATAGTTATAGAAAAACTGACAAACACTATCAGGTATAATAACCCCAGATCTCAAATACTTAAAAAGGAGACTACTGATATTTTTATGTGACCTTTGATGTGATGAATAAGATGGCTCCCAGGTCCAATGAGGCATGGTATCCAAGACCAAAGAGGCTTCCATAGACTGTCACATTGGTATCCTAAGACAGGAATGTTTCTTGCATTTTACCTGATAAACACAACTTGCCTTTGTTTGTTTGAAGTGTGACTCATGTATCCACCCAAGGGGACTTGAGGAAGATCAATGTTATGCAAAGATTCTTAGGGTGGAAAAAGTCAATGTAGGAGTGGAGTATGGGATATCATCTGGACATACACTCTTCCTACCTCAACATTCAGCTTCCATCTGCGCTTTCCCTCAGGGACCAGTCTCCACCATAGCTGTTCTCTGAAGAATGTGCATGCTTCCAGTAGTAAGGTACAAAATGTAAGCTGCTGAGCTAAAGTGAACATAACTAAGCTGATTATAAAACTCTGTAAGGCAGGACCAGCAGTTAACGTAATGGATATGTTGCTGGACTCCCACATAGTCGACTATGGTTTGAGTCCTGGACCCGGTGGCTTAAACTCACGCCAGGCGTGTGCGCATGCGTGCCCAAGATCCCAAGAGGAGATTGGAGGAGAAAGGACTGTGGCCTAGCCATCCCCCCTGGGGGGGGGTGATTTCTTGCTTTCTTTCTCTCTGTTTCTCTCTCTGTGTGTGACGAGCGCACATGCCCTATAACAAAAACCTCTCCAAAAAAATAAAAATAAAAAAGTCCCTGGCCCGGTGACTTGAAAAAAATACAATTAAAAAATAATAATAAAAATAAAAATAACTCTGTAAGAGTCCGAGGAGACATGTATGGATGAACATATCTGTGCCTTAAGCTAATTAGAAGAGTTTGGCAGGAGGATCTCAAGATGGAGAGACCTTCTCTGTCTTCTCTTTCACATATACCCCAATAATACCCACACACATTTAAATACATCAAAATGGTATCCACAGTCACCTATAAGAGGTAAAAACTAAAGATCTGTCCTTTCTTCCATTTTAAATTTCCTCTAATATTACTTCATAACAACAAAAAAAAAAATACTATAAGCTGGGAAGGGAAATCCTGAGTAAAAATACTCATCAAACACTACAGCGCCAGCCTCAAGGCTTCTCCTCTGTCCCTGACCCTATCCTAACTACTGGGTGACCTTTGGAGGGGTTCTCAGAATATTTTCAGCTACTGAGAACAAAAATGTGAACAAACACAGAAAAGGTACCTTTAAATTATAAAAATCCTCTGAGAAAAGTTTCTAGGAAATAAATAAAACTAAATGCTGCCCCTCCTGTTGCCAGTCACAAGGCACCTGCCCTTACTCCAAACAAAGCATCTCCCAATTTCACAACCATCTTCTGCTGAATGAAGTCCTTCAATGAGGGCTCTCTGGTGTTCTTTCTCTTCTGTTCTCATGCTTCACACTTAGTTCCTACAGGAGGCAAAGACCCAAAGGGCCACTGATGGATCTAGGCTCTCCCAGGTGGAGCTTTTCAAAGTGCAGTAACCAGTAGGCAACATTCAAGGAGCCTGAGCCACTAGGCCTACTGCTAAGTTCAGTAAGCATTTTTTCATAGCAGGGTTTTCACTATGATGAAACACAGGAATTTACATTGTGGGCAAGCTTCTACCTTGAAGGGAACCAGCTCTCTGTATATCAAGAACTTTTTTGATCTCAAAAAAGGCATGTTGTCTCAGACACTGGGATGACGACACTGGGGTCAGAAAAAAAAAATAGGCTTCATAGGAGCTGCAGAGAGACAGAGGGAGACCTTAACAGACTGTGAGAGGTCAACTTCCCTCTTATCACCACCTGCTCTGCCCAGACATCCTGCCCAAGATTAGCCAAGAAAATCGTCAGAGCCAGAGCTAGCACCAAAGACAAGAGTAGGGTGGGACAAGAGCTCCTGGGCAAGGCAGACTCTGCAGCACAGAAGCAAGGGAGATACCTGTGACAGCTGACAGAGACACAGGCCAGCTAGAGAAAGCCAGGGGTGTGGGTTTGTCAATCAGCAAGACATTTCATCAGGAATGGGCTGTTATAAAATCAAGTGTACTCAGATTGAACTACTACTATAATAGGCTTACCTTTTTGTCTTCTTTAGTCTTTCTAACATTTCGATGGGGACTGAAAATGTTCTGTACTCCAAAAGCCTTCCTGGACCAGTCCCATTTTTGGCCACTCAGTGGGGGCTGTGCAAAGCTGCCCTCAACCCTGTAGCGGTCAGCAGG